TAGTCTTTCACTCAAAACCACCCTAGACCCTCGCTATATTAAGATATATCAGCACACAACCACCTGAAGCACCCTGAAACACAAAAATGCAACCGTAAAGTATCTTAAAAAGAAAACTTCTGGCGGTCTCAGGGAGTAGTGAAAAGATATTTGCTCACAGTATTCTCGCGTCCCCGGGACTTACAGCAGATGATTTTTCGCATCACCGTATGCCTTCTCTATTATCTGTGTTTGACATACAATACGTTTGTTTACCCTATATACATATTTGGTGTGGGTACTTCTTCGACTTTCTGTTTGCAGCCCTGCAAACAGAGGCATAACCCTACGAGATTTGAGGTTTAGGGATTTAAGCCTCAATCCCTTCAGGGTTGTAAGGTTCTACTCCTATATATAATTCTTGTACCTTAAACCCCAAACCAGTAAACCGTATAGGGTCTAAACCCTATAGGGCTAACCCCGTGACGGTTTTAGAGATAAACCCTGAAAAGACCGTAAACCTTTCAACCCTATAGGGTTTAATGGTTTACAAATCTAAGGTCGGAGCATGTGTACCTTCAGCTCCTATAGAGTTAAAACTTTTGAACCTTTTTGGGCCCAATAGGGTTTTAGGGTTCAGACCCTAAAGAGTTTAGGGCTAAGCTTTAAATGCCTAAACCTTAAACCTAAATGGGCTTAGGTTTCAATGCCTAAATCACAGGGTTATGAGGTTCTACAACTAGGTACCGCCTAAACCTTAAGCCGATAGGGTTTGAACCCTATAGGGCTAAGCCTGTGAGGGTTTTAGAAATAAACCCTGCAAAAACTCTAAACCTTTGAACCCTTTTGGCTATAATGGTTTGCAAGCCTAAGGTCCGGGCATGTAGACCTTCAGCACCTATAGGGTTAAAACCTTTGAGCCTTTTTGGGCCCTATAGGGTTTGGGCTCTATGGGCTTAGTTTTTAATGCCTATAAATCTTAAACCCTAAGCCTTTAAACATTAAACCTATAGGGTTCAAAGCTTAAAGGTTTAGATTTAATTGCCGACCAATGTGTAAATGCCTAAATCTTAAACCCTGACCTTTAAGCCTTAACCAAGTGTTTAAAAGTTAAGGGTTTGGGTTTAATTGCTTAGCTCGGAAGGGTTTCGGGGCTTCTCTTTGAAGCCCTTTTACATCCAGGCCTCTGAGGTCTGGCGGGTAAAGAGCCCTAAACCCTTAAACCAATTGGTGTTAGAGAATAAGCCCGCAGTGGAGCTGAGGGAAGGGGAGGGCGAGGGGGTGTTTCGGGGTCCTGGCTATGTGGAAGATCCCTGGTACCCTCCCCCTTCCCCCCCCCCTGTTTATACGCAAACTTAATGCTTGTAAGCAATGAGTGAGTGACTCGGTGGTCGAGTGAGTGTGGGTTGATGCGTCAGCGGTGTAAATGAGCCAGTGATTCCTAGAGCCAGAGTATGGAGAGGCAATGAGTCCGCGACTCCCCGATTTTAGTACTGAAGATGATGGGCTTAGGGTTTTCCTGCGTTTAAACTTGCATTTTAAAATTTAAGTTAAATGCAGACCACCCCCAGGAACCAAGAACCAAGAACCAAGATGCCCAGGACTCTTGATTCTTGGTTCTTGGTTCCCGGGGGTGGTCTGCATTTAAAACTGCGTTGAAAATTTAAGTTAAAGGCAGACCAGCCCCAGGAACCAAGAACCAAGAACCCAAGATGCCCAGGACTCTTGATTCTTGGTTCTTGGTTCCCGGGGGTGGTCTGCATTTGAAACAGCATTTACAAATTTAAGTTAAATGCGGCAGACCCCGGGAACCAAGAACCAAGATGCTCAGGACTCTTGATTCTTGGTTCTTGGTTCCTGGGGGTGGTCTGCATTTAAAACTACATTTGAAAGTTTAAGTTAAATGCAGACCACCCCCGGGAACCAAGAACCAAGAATCAAGAGTCCTGGGCATCTTGGTTCTTGGTTCTTGGTTCTTGCTTCTTGGTTCCTGGAGCTGGTCTGCATCTAACTTAAATTCTTAAATGCAGTTGTAAATGCAGCCCCGCCCCAGGAACCAAGATTCCAGAATCAAGGGTCCTGGGCATCTTGGTTCTTGGTTCTTGGTTCCTGGGGGTGGTCTGCATTTAACTGAAATTTTAAAATGCAGTTTTCAATTCACAGGGTCGTGTCCGCATTTAACCTTTAAGTTTTTAAATGCGATTTAAATTCGCGGGGCCTCGGTCAAGTAAATTAAGGTAGTGTTGTCGTGTGTCGTTTATCATCATGTGTTTGGCTGTTAAAACACAGAAAAAGTACATTAGCATATCAACAACACAGCAACAACACATCAACAGAGGAAAAAAAGGAAGCAAGGGTGGATCTTTTGGGGGGGGGGATACTATAACTATATATACATATATATGCTCACCCCCCCCCCCCAATGGACCAACCGCGAAACGGAAAAGAAGTCCAAAAACCCAAAAATCCAAAAGTCCAAAAATCCAAAAATCCAAAGTTCCCCGGACAATCTCCCAGGAAACTTTGGATTTTTGGGTTTTTGGATTTTTGGATTTTTGGGTTTTTGGGTTTTTGGATTTTTGGGTTTTTGGGTTTTGAGTTTTTTAGAATGCTTTTTCGTGTTTTTTCGTGCTTTTTTGCACGTTTTGTACTTTTTGCATTTTGTGCACTTTTTGCACTTTTTTTGCATTTTTTGCGTTTTTTCTTAAATTCGCAATGCTTCTGCAATATTTGTCCTCTTGAATGTGCTTTTCCAATCCAAAAATCCAAAATCCAAACTTCCCCGGGCAATCTCCCAGGAAACTTTGGATTTTTGGATTTTTGGATTTTTGGATTTTTGGGTTTTTGGGTTTTTGGGTTTTTGGATTTTTGGATTTTTGGATGTTTGGATTTTTGGATTTTTGGATTTTGGGATTTTTGAAGATTTTTGAAGATTTTTCATGATTTTTCGCATTCGAGGTTGGCTCATTCGTGCTCCTTCTTTTTGAGTGAAAGGAGGGCGACCATTCAAATGTACCCTTATCAGAATTTCAAATGCGTCCTACCTACTCGAAACGTGAACACTACATTCATAGCACAACTAAATAAAGATTTTGAATATGCTGTTTCTGTATATGAGGACCAGGTAGAGTCTTGCCTACTGAGAAAAGCACGTACATGTGTTATGCACAAGCCTTTGCCAAGGAGGCGTTAATGTGCAAATATCGAATTTTGTGCATTTGAAAGAAGCTGAAATCTCCCTTTTTTCAAAAAGAACCATTCTGGGATCACAGTACCTGCTGTTTAAGAAAAAGACTATATCTCATGAACACCCTTACTTTGCGATAACGATTTAGTTTTTCTGATCCTTTAATTCAAGCTCTTAATCTTGCATTCCCCTCCTGTGATTATTGCAGTAAAGCCTGCTCGAATCTCATTAACGTCTTAACTACTCGATTGAAAGCTGTATCAATAAAATCCTAAGTAGCCTGTTCAAAAAGCCAATAAGGTTTTGAAATATCCTACTCGAAAAGCCAACAAGAGGTTGAACAGAAGAATTCAAGACAGTAATAGGGCTTGGGTCCAATACAGGGCTAGTGAACTGTCCACTCTAAGACTTCCCCTGGTGAAGTGAAGTGTCCATTCCGGGTAGCACAGTTCACGTACTGGTACAAAAACCAGAACATGTGGACAGTCACGGGGAGAATGCTGCGCGCTTTGTTTGATAAGTAGGGTTGAGAAGGCACACCGCTCATCGTCCAGTCTTGCTCCAAAGCAGAAACTCACCGACCTCCAAATTTTGTATGCAGATCCTGCGACCAGAGGCCACACCGCGAAAGTGTAAGGGTGCCAGAGTGCCTGCGCGGGTATAGAGTAGTGGCAGCTATATAAGCATCTTACAAGCAAAGAAAACCCAAAATACAAAATCCCAATCCCAAAAACACAATCCAAAAATCCCAACAACCAAAAATCCAAAAATCCAAAGTTTCCTGGGAGACGGTCCGGAGAATTTTGGGTTTTTGGATTTTTGGATTTTTGGACTGAAGAAGCACATTCAAGAGGACAAATATTTGCAAAAATATTGTGAAATTAGACAAAAGCACAAATAAATGCAAAATGTGCAAAAAAGTGCAAAATGTGCAAAAAAGTGCAAAAAGTGCAAAAAAAATACAAAAAGTGCAAAAAAAGTGAGAAAAAAGTGCAAACAGTGCAAAAAAGTACAAAAAGTGCAAAAAGTGCAAAAAGTGCAAAAAGTGCAAAAAGGGCAAAAAAGCAGAAAAAAACACAAAAGAATACAAAAAAAATGCACGAAAAAAACACAAAAAAAGCACAGGAAGCACAAAAAGCACAAAGAAGTAGACAGGGAAAGCATGGCAGGGTGCAGTGTCTCGAGAACCTTATACATGTCGATGTGGGTCCATTGGGGTTGGAGGTTGGTCCATTGGGGGGGGGGCGACCATATATATATATATATGTATGTATGTATGTATGTATGTATGTATGTATGTGTGTATGTGTGTATATGTATATGTATATGCGTATATGTATATGTATATGTATATGTATATGAATATCTATATACAAGTATATATATATATATAGATATACATACCAACGAAGATTCCGCCAGCATCGAAGAGGCGATAGTGAGGGGTTGACTCTCATTTGGTGGCGGGGCTATCTTAGGCTAAACGCCCTGTACGTTGGGTTTTCGGGTTGAGGGTGAGAGGGCCTGCTACATACCCTTACGAAACGGAAATGATTCATTCAGGCACCGTTCCCTTCTAAACACTCTCGGATGGAGCTGGAGTATAGGGGCATGGGGCGACCATTCAGTCCCGGGAGGACAGCTGAAAACAGCCTGCAAGTTGAACAAGAACTAATTATTCGGCAGTGGCGGTTGATTTGGACGACCCCTCTACAACCCAATCGCGAGCCCGAACCTTGCCCTGTCAATTTTTTTAAGTAGGCAAAAACGGGGGTCCTGGAAGAACATGCAAGCAGCGAAAACCTGCCGGAAGCTTTGCATCCCCTCTGCTGAGGATCCTCCTCTTCCCACTCTCCTGCAGTACAAGGCCCGTGGGGACTTGTTAGAAGGGAAGGGTTGGCGTGGGGCCAGGCTTCCAAGGAATGTTGGGGGGGCACAGGCATCTGAACCCCCCGCCTGAAAAGCCGCTGGACTTCAACTTTGCGGTTCATTCTCTGGGCCAACTGAGGTTGTGCAAGAGAGGCTGCACCGTCTCAACAGCGGCAAGGACCGGGAAATATTCGGGATGTCGACTAAACGTGACTAAACGGAAGCCGAGGGGGGGGGTTTTGAACCCAAATCTGGAACCACGCCCCTACATATGGACGCGAAACCCTAAGCCCTAAATTCTAGACCCTCGAAACCCTGGAGCCCAACCTCGCCTTCCACTTTGTCTCAAATGCCCACAGAGACATCGAGTTTGAAGTTCAAGGTTTCAGGCCCTGCGAGTAAAATCTTCCGGGTAGCTGGTGTGGGGTGCTGGCTCAAGGCATCCTCAGATCTGACACATACTTCAAGGTGACATTGGATGGCATGGAAAATCCAGGCTCTGCTTGCAAGCCTGGGAAGGTCCTTGGCCCCTGTGTGTGCCAGATCGCAGCAATGGACAGAGGTTTACAAAGTCCAAGAATTGGGAAAGGATGAGGCACCAAAGCCATGCTTGAACCCCCACCGTCCCTGCATTCGGATCCGGTAGTAGGGATCCCCACCGCCCACCAAAAATTCGACAAGTACGTCATGAATGCCTTGCGCCCTAGAGCTGCCTTCAGGAAGCTGAGTCCACAATTGGCTGGTCACCTACCATTCGGGCTTGGGTTTGGGTCAGTTCGGGTAGAACTTTCGTGTTTAGGGTTTCGGAGAACTGGGGGTCTCGAGAGTTCCGGTTGCGGAGCAGGTGCTGGGTGAGCTGTTTCAGGGCTTGGGCGTTGCTGTTGAGAGAATGAAAGCAGCCATCCAATCCATCCGACCCGAAGCAGAGCATACGCAAAAAGAAGGCGGCGCTGGGTCCTTACCTCCGTCACGTGTACTAATTCGAACCCTCGCTCCGGACAGAAGGGGAGGCAAGCAAAGTAGATCTCGAAGAGGCTGTCTTCCTAGATCGCTGGGACTTGGGACTTCAGTTTGCCTTACGGCACTGTGCTGCCCCTGATGATGACAAGCCCCACACGCCAAGCCAACTCGAAACTCAAAACCCAAAGCCCGAAACACATCTTGGGCATCTGAGCATTCCCATGCTGGGTTCTTGTTAAGGACATTACACTAATTTGCCATTGTACGGGCTTATAGTAGCATAAATGTTTCCTTATATGGTCACTGAAATCAAGTTCTTCAACAAGAGCCCACTGAGGCTCACCTTGGACGGAGGTGGAATCTTTGGGCTGTACGTCTGCCACCTCTGAGAGTAATTGGGGCCCATCTTCCACGATGCACGTTGATGAATGAGGCGGGGTTGCTTGCCTAGCTTTGGGATATCTGAGTCTGCGGTGAAGGTGCCGGAGGAGACGGAGCAGCTCCTCCAGACGCTGTCGGAAAGGCCTGGAAGCTTGCTGAACGAGGGAAGCGGCAGAGACTTTCAACACAGTCTAGGAAGCAAAGGCAAGAACGAGTCAGGGCCAACAAGTCCACAAGTGTTGGCTATGGGTGTGTGTCTGCACGTCCAATGTGCTTCTGGGTGGTACCTGTGAATGGGTTCGACTGAAACTCAGGCTGGATGGTGCCGAGCAGGCAACTTCGTCACCTTCTTGGCCCGAGGATCAAGAGGACGTCTTTGTTTCGCAAAGAAGGTGTCAGCATGACTTGATCAATGGGTACTTGCAGCTAGGCAGACTCTTCCAATGCGTCTGGTGCTGCTACAGCACCCCATGAGCCCTGGGCGTGCGCAGGAGTTCGGCACGGAGCCCTGCATCTTGCACAGAGACCGAGGCAACTCAACATGCAACTGCAAGAAGCGTAGTGAAGCGTCATCCCACAGAAGCTGAGCCCTGGCAGACGTGGTGGCGCTGCGGAAGCCTCCAAACTGGACTGGGCCTGTGCCACAAGTAGAGCACACTGTGTGCAGCCGCAGTTGCAAGCAAATACGCGGGTCCGCGTTGTAACAGGGTCGCACGGGGCCATGATGCCCATCAGTGACACAAAGGATGTAGCGCAGTGTTCAGGGCTTAGGATGCTGCTGCTTTCGAGCTCAGGTTAGCTCAAGATAGGCGTTGCCTACATAGCGAAATGCTACAATCCTTGTGGCAGGAGCCCCGAAACAGGGGGAATGGATGACCTGTCCCCGATTGGCCGTGCTCCAGGTGTTTGTGAGTTTGGGGCCTGATAGGGCTTAGGCTTAGGTTTTACCTCCGCCACGTCTACCAAATCGAACCCTCGAGGCTACCTTTCAGCTGAAACGCTGGCGATGCACTGTGAGATGGAGGCAGGATAGCTCGGGAGAACTGTTTCAGTCTTGCTTTGCATGAGTTCGAAGACATCCGACAACCCTGAAAATGCCTTGGGGCTTGGGATTCCATGTCCGAGAAAAATTCACGGTTCAGAAATGGGTACACGTGTATCCCCTTTGGGGCATGTCTCGAAATCCTTTTTACAGACTTCATTCTTGAGGGTGGGGTGGCGTATTTCCGACCGGTCTCCGGACCTGTCTGAGCTATGCCTGCCCCGCGGGTCCCTCGGAGTTTTGACCTGATCTGGTCGGGATGCTTGAAGATGAAAGGTCTGCCCGTGCTCTTTGCTGCGTGTGACTGCACTGTGACTTTATTATCAGTTTCTAATGCGGTGCCAGATCCAAGATCCAAGATTGCCGCGGAGAAGTTTGGAGGCAAACTTGCATCCTGGCCGGACCGCACATGGCATGGTTTTCAAAAATGATTTGGCACCTTTGGCTCCTGCAAATCCCTTACTTTCATCATTCAGTTATTCTTCTGTGTCCCCAATTGTATGCCGGCTGCCGTATGGATTCTGAATTATCCACGCAGCTTCCCGATGAATGTTCGGCTCGATTACAAAGAATCTTTCACTTCGTCTTATGGATATTCTGGCTTTCCTTGCTGAGCCATTTGCACAGGGCTTTCGTGCAACTTTTCAACGGAGCTCGACAGACTTGTTTCAGAAATTGCCTCATGAAGCCAAGTCTTCCCCAATACACAGCCACAAGGCGAGCAGCAGCCAACTTTCTACAAGGATATTTTCCATGCATCACATCGATCCCGTGCAAAACCTTTCGTTGAAATGCTATTCCTTGGTAGAATTCTTAAACAAGACGGCCTGAGCACAAGGAACATGTGCACTAGATTTGACTATAAAACAAGCAGTTTTCATTACATACTAATGAAACATTGCTCATGCACTAATTAAATACCACTTGTACAGAATATCTGTGTCTAAAACATTCGCATAGACAAGCTTTATAACATAATTGTTTTAGAGCCCATGCCTCGTGAAGATCATAGTACTCGGAAATTCACAAATCCTAAAACCTTGGGAGGATCTCTGGCGAAGTTTGGACTTTTGGGTTTCAGGTGTTTCGACACAAATAATGCAATTTTCCTAAGCAAAATCGTTCTTTTTCCAAAGGAATACTGCTTCTTTCCAAGCAAAAGGTTGATCAAGTATGCAAATTGAATACTACTGAAACACCTAGTACATTTTCAAAAGCACGCCAATGCAAATTCAATACTGAGCACATACTGGTTTTGTCCTGCTGACCGCCAGGATGCGCAGGCGATTTGGTCTGCTGCCAAAGAGAGCTTGCTGAAGGTGGCACGGGGCTTGTCATGTTCTCGTCCATGTCTCTGAGGAGATGTGGTGCTGGATGCCATTATAGGAGTGGCATGGAGTGACCGCCGTCCGGCAGGCTGCGAACGACGGCAGATTGGAGGAGGTGCCCATGTGCATGACGTGAGCCATAAACCGTCATGAGAGCTTGAGCATGATACTCCGGGACGCAGGCTTTTGTTGAGGGTTGAGGGTTGTGGCAGTTTCGGCTCAGAATGCCTGTGCACCCTTGCCCAGAGCTTGTGGATGAGAACCTCTCCCTTTGCCCTACCATCACGCAGCTCTTTCGCCGTGTAGAAGCAGCTGATGGACTCCTTCCTCACATCGGCTATGCATTGAGGGCACTGCCACCCTTGCAAGATCGGCAGGAAAACGTCTGGCTCGATGAATGAGACCGTGGCTAATTCAGCATCAGTCCTCGAATTAGCGACGGCATCCAGCGGCGCGAGAGCTTGGAGCCGTTTCGGCTGGCCCCCTGAGGTTGGGCCCCGAAACCCAAAACCGTTGAAGTCCGGAAGGCTTCAAGCCCGGAGTATCCCCAACCCTAGCCTTTTTCCCTCAACCCTCGTCTCAAACAAAATGAAGCCTCGGCCTGGCAGGAGCGCCGCCCCTGCTGGCTGCACGATCAGTGCGCCTCCTAGTCTTCATCGCAGTGAACATTTGTGGTTGATTTAGGATTTCAGCACGAATCACGAAAAAAAATAGGCGCCACTTCTTCAGGTACTGTACATAGTCCGTCAGATGGGTGTCGCCAGAAGCTCCATTGTGAGGCTTCGAGCTTCTAGCTTCAGCTTCTTGGACAAGAGCACCCTCTGTAAACTCCAAGCCCGAACATCCCTATAGCTTGGTAACAACTGTGAGAGCCCTAATGCCATCTAATCCCCCATCCAGCCTTCGGCACAGGCCTAAGCGCGCCTGCTCCGAACCAGGCGCGAGCCCGTCGTCCACCTGATGGTCCAGCCAGCTTCTACTGTCACATGTTGTCACAGCATTTGAGTGAGTTCCATGGCTAGATTGTCTCTGAATGAGGCATACAGAGGCATGGCTCGATAGACTTGATCTGTATCCGGGGCTGAAAACACCAGAATGTACGGGCAAAGCTAGCTGTTTGTGTCACTACCTGGCACATCACTCACCCTGACTTTGAAAAGCCCTGCGATGCGGCAATGTCTCAAGAACTCCTTGGATCGTACATAAACTCCCCCACCCCCCCAAACCCCCCAGAAGATAACACCTGTGTGTGCCACCAAACTTGACGAATACAAGCTACTCCAAATAATTGGGGTCAGTCTCCAAGTTTGGAGGTGGGATTCATTAAAAAAAAAACAGCAATGCGGCAGGGAACTAAACCGAAACGGCCCGGGGGGGGCCTAAAGGAGAGGTTATGCAATCTCCGACTTTTGCCAGCAAGCATGCGAGCCGCCTTCAGTGCTGCTAGGAACATTTGCGCAAGCAGCAGCGTCAAGAGCGAAAATGGTGATGCCGCCCTCAAATGGTGCGAGGCGATGCAGCCAACGACTGCACTTGAAGCACATCGTTGGTCTTGCCTGGTAACTGCAATCCAGGTTGATTAGGGTAGACTAAGGGCCACCATTCCCGCAACTTCCACGTCGGCCCACGGAGGCCACCCGACGAGCCTATGCTTCTCCTCTTCCGGGCTCGGCCACCCAGGTAAACGCACAGTTTTTGGTGCTTGAAGAAGGAGGGCGCAGATGGGTAGGATCCGAAAGGATCCGAAGCCCTGAGCAGAGCCCTGGATCAATGAATGGGGATTGGGGCTCAAGATGGTTCAAGGCTTAGGGCACTTCAGGGCTGCAGAGTCAAGACTAGAAGGAGAGTCTGCTTCTTGACATGCGACTCGAAAACTCAAAAGGCCTAGGACCAGGAATGCTCTATGCTGATGCATGTACTGGCGGCCAGTGCTTGTCCATCTCGAATCGTCAGTGCTACATGCCGGCAGCAAAGGAGCAGCCGGAAACCAACATCAGAACCGACCGCCCTGCAAAAGAGATGCTAGGTCGGAGCCAGGAGTGCCTGCGCCTTAGGTCAACTCTGGAATTTGGAATGAGCGTCTAGGGCCTGGTTGAATCGAAAAGGGCGCTCATTTCCGGAATTGTGGGAGACGAGCCCGTGAGTCTATATTGTTTCGGGTTTAGGGTTTTCGGCAGCACGCAGGGGCAGCAAGCCCTGTTCGCCGGGTGAGGCTCGGAACTTTCCATAAGCAACTCCCAAATACCCCTACGACATAAGCTGCAATTAAGCCCTAAACTCCCTACACCCTGAACAGTTCATCGCGTGGGTTTGGATTTGAAGTCGGCCCTCCTCTTGGCTCACGGGGAACGAGACCATGTTTACCTGAGGTGTCCTGCCCAACCTCTGGATGTGCCCTGGCTCTTGGCCGGGGGCCCTGCAGCGGAATTGTAGAGGGAGGAAGGAGGGGGTAAGTGTTTGGGGGTGCCCGGTCTAGAGAACGGGGCAGTTCAGGCATTCTACGGGTGGGATTTGGGGTTTAGAGTATTGGGTGTAGCAATGCGTCGTAGAGCAACTAGAGCATACACAGATATATAGGCCTCTTGGGGTTTACAGGGGTGAATGCACTTGTGGCATATGACTCTGCCAGTGGCTTCTGGTTGAAGTTTGGGATTGAGAGTTCGGGGCGTTAGGATGTGGGGTTGACGTGTTGGCGGCTTTAGAAACTTGGCATCTCTGAGGCCATGTCGAAGGACAGCTCAGGTTGCCTATGCTCCACGTAGAACCTATGGAGCCATAGTATTGTTGAGATTCCCTTGGGCTTCACAAAATCACGAATACATAATGAACTGTCTAGAAGGGGAGCCTCATCCCGACGATGCCATTGGCCAGGAAGCTCAAGCCTACCTTCGTTGAGAGTTTCAGGCCCATAGGCCCCTTGAGGTCTGCGACGCTTGTGAGTTTTTGTGGCCGGTCGATGTAGGGCCAGGGTTTATTTACTTTTTAAAGGTGTGGCTCGGGCTTCTTTTCTTTAAAAGGCGTCGCTCGGGTGCCCTTTAAGCATATGGGTCTTTTTGAAACCCATCAGGCGACAACCCCCGCTTTTAGGCTTGTTTCTAAACAGATGAGTCTGTTTGAAACCCATCATGCGAGCAAATTGGGGGGGGTGTGCGACCGCTTTCTCAGGCAAGGTTGCTTCAAGCAGATGAGTCTTTTCGAAACCCATCATGCGAGCGTTGTGTTTGCAAATGGGGGCGCTCCAACCCCCCTCCACTCCCCCGCTTTGTTGAGTCGGCCAAGTTTGCTTCAAGGCATCTGTTCTTTTTTTGTAACCCTCATGCGAGCATTGTGTTTGCAAATGGGCGGGGCGCCCACCCTCGCCCCCAACCCCCGCTGTTAAGCCGTGCAAGCTTGCTTCAAAGCAGGAGTCGTTTAGAAGCCCATCATGCGAGCGTGTGTTTGCAAATGGAGGGGCTGCACCCCCGCATCATGCGAGCCCCTGCCCCCCAGCCCCCGTTTTTACGCCATGCAAGTTGTATGGCTTTTTTGATGCAAGCGTCTGTGATCCTATTATAGTAAAAAGAGAATAGAGAGGAAAACCGAAAAACGGAACAGATCCAAAATTAGCATGGGTTCGAGCAAAACCCCAAGCACGGGGCTTTGGCCAGAACGCGATGTGTAGCTCGGTACTGAAAACAACGACTTCGAACACTTTGGGGCGATAATGAGGGGCCCCCATATACATATATATATATATATATAGACCCCCAAATTGTAGGATCCCCTTGTACTACGGACCCAAATTTCAATAAGGTACCCATTTTTCGTAAACCCCCAGTTGTAGCTCCGTACAGCACGGGGCTTATAAAACTGTGGTTTTTCCTATGAAAACAGCAACTCCGAGCACCGGGACCCGAGCCACACCTTAAAAGCACAAACAGGCCCGAGCCACACCTAAAAAAGAAAACCTCCAGCGCCGATGTGCTCGTAGGTCCCCAGCCAGAAACCACTGCGGTGCAGTGCCTGAAATTTCTGGGTCTCCCTAACGACCCAGGAGCAGCTGGCAGCCGACTTCCAGGTCATTCGGGGCTGGCAGTTTCGGGGTCTACTGTAGGATGCTGTAGGGCACACACTCTTTGCACTTGCTCTGGTAGTACTGACTTGGAGTGATGCACGGTCAATCTTGACATTGCTGCTGCAACGCGAGGATCCCAAGGTGTCACACTGCCGTCGTCCAAAACATCCCTCAAACCTCCCCCCCCCCATCCCATATTTCGAGAATTGTATTTTGGGCCGGGTTAGGAAAATGTATGGCCAAGCATGGAAGCCAACGTTATTGAGCTTGAGCCTGAGAAGCAGTTTGAGCTTGGAGCCTGAAACGGGGGATTTCATTCCAGCCTGAGCTATAAAGGATTAGGGTTCAGGCCTTAAGGTTTCTGTTTCTTCTGCACCTAGATGCTGCATGGCCCGCTGTGGCTACAAAGCCAAGAAGCTGCAAGGGTTTAGGGGTTCAGGCCTTCTCCTTCTCCTACTCCTCCTCCTCCTACTACTACTACTACTACTACTACTACAACTACTACTCCTCCTACTCCTACTCCTGCTCCTGCTCCTACTCCCCACATCTTTGTGTGGGGTTCTTACTTTTGGGGCTCTCCCGCCTTCTCCTCCTCCTCCTTCTCCTCCTCCTTCCTCTCGCTGACTCACTCAGTCACGCACGGACTCATGCACCCACACAGCACACACTCACTCATCACTCGTCATAACTCACTCACCACTCACTCACTCACTCAGTCTCACACACACACAGCACACACTCACTCATCACTCATCATCACTCACTCACCAGTCACTCACTCACTCGCTCACTCACTCACTCACTCAGTCTCACGCACACACACACAGCACGCATTCACTCATCTACCGTTTGCATTTCACTCATCACTCATCATCACTCACTCACCACTCACTCACTCACTCACTCCCTCACTCAGTCTCACGCACACACACACACACAGCACACATTCACTCATCTGCCGCTTGCACAGGTGCCGCTTGTGCTAGCAGGCGCAGCACTTGGGGGCCCTCGACCGGCCCCGCGCGCGCGTGTGGCACACAGCACATTTACTCATCTGCCGCTGGGGCGCTCGCTTCGCGTTGGCTTGTGCTAGCCAGCGCAGAACTTGGGGGCCCTCGACCGGCCTTCGCGTTGGCAGGCGCACACAGGCAACACTTGGGGGCCCTCGACCGGCCCCGCACGCGCGTGGGGCTCGTTGGCAGGCGCGGCGCAGGTGCCGCTTGTGGGGCCCTGGACCGGGCCCCGCGCGTTAGGGTAGTTTAGGGTTTAGGGCTTCTCGCCGCGCCGCGGCAGTAGATTTCATGCGGAGATGGCGCCCCAACACACCCAGGGGGTGTGAGGGGGCGG